TTTATTTCAGCATCAGCAACATCTCAGCCATCAAAAAAATAAACTCTACCAAGGGCGACGCAAGATGTCTACAGCGAGGCTAAGGGCTCAGCCGCTGAGCAGTGAACACGGCGGGTGCATGGTGGATGCTGCCCAGGCAATAAGTTAGGAAGCGGCAGGGCTGGTGGCAGGCAGGGGGCCAGCCTCACTTCTGGGCGGGCATGAGGTCGTCGATGGCCTGGCCCTGCTCCAGCCGCTGCTCCATCTCGATGAGCAGCTTCACCCCGTCCACCACCATCTGCACCAGCTCCACCTCCGAGAAGCCCAGGCGGTCCGCGTTGGAGACATCGAAGACCCCGCCCACGGCGGCCGTGTCCACGCCCCCTGCGGGAGAGCCAGGTCAGCAGGGGCGCAGGAGGGGCAGGGCTGTGGGCAGCGCCGCCCCCACCCTCACCTGTGCCTCGCTTCTGGAGCCTGAGCCGCTTGAGCGCCTCGGGGAACTTGTCGTGCTTGCCCAGATGAGGCAGCTTGATGTGCACTCCTGCCCGCAGCCCTGTGCCCAGGTTGGACGGGCAGGTGAGGATGTAGCCCAGGTGAGGGTTCCACATGAACTCGTAGTTCTTCGACTTGAAGAGGGTTTCGATCTGGAGGCGCAGCAAAGGAGGAGGGCTGAGACGCGCAGGGAGGAGGGGGGGTGCAACACCCTCCCCTGCACCCCCTCACTCAGCTGACCTGGGTGAGGCCGTTGCAGAAGCGGGTGAACACCTCCTTCATGTTGCCCCCTTTCTGCATGGAGATGACCCTGAGGTGGTCCTCCTCGTTGATCCACACCAGGAAGGTCTTCTTGTCATTGTGCCTGGAAACGGCGGGGGGAGGGGGGGTCCACTAGTCCCAGGCTCCTGAGGGGCTGGTTCCCACTCACCCAGGGCACCTCCTACGGAGCAGAGCTGTACCCCCACTTGCCACTCAAGTTGGAGTGCAGGGATGGCCCCAGGGCAGCCCCAGCCCCGAGGCCATGAGCGCACTGAGCCCCAAGGGCCCTGCCCTAACCTGGCAAGAAGCTTGTGCGTCACCCAGCACCTGCCTGGATCCCCGAGGGGACAAGGAACCAGGGGAGGGAAGGAGGGCAAACAGACGCCTGAGGCATCTGGGGCCTCAGTCCCCAGGCACACGCAAGGTGACCCAGGAGGAAGGACTGGGCAGTACCAACCCCCACCGCGCCAGGCCCCGCCCCTTCGCCTCCGCAGGCTCTCCGCGCCCCATTCCCGAGTGGGGGATAGTCACGCACCAGATGCCACGGGCGTCTGGCCAGTCGCGGGCCATGCCCGAGGCCAGCAGCAGTGGGGACACGGGTTTATCAAAGAGGAAGTGGTCGTCTATCAGCTGCTGCTGCTCGGCCTCCGTCATGCTCTTGAGCGCATAGTATCTGCCGGACAGGTCGCCGTCCAGGCTCGACAGCGCTGCGGACACAGATGGCAGCGCCCTCCTGAGCCCGGGCGTCCCTCGGGGCCCCGGCCGCCCGGCCCCTCCGGGAAACTGGACCCGGGCAAGCGCAGATAAGGGTGCGGCAGTGGCTCGGGTGACTGGTAAACACGCAGGGCGGAGCCGGGGACTAGGGACCCGGCGTGCGCGCGCGCGCCGCAGCAGCGGGGTGCGGTCGCCGGCCGCCGACCCCGGTCCTGGGCACCTACCTTCCACCGCCAGCTTCTCAATGGCGCGGCGCTCACCGCGGCTGCAGTGCGGGGGCAGGCAGAAGCCACGGATGCTGCGGCCCGTGCGCACCCGCGAGCTTAGCACGTAGTTGGGGTCCAGGTCGTCGCCGCCCTGGAGGTGGGGAGCGAGGGGCAGGGAGTGAGCGCCGTCGGGAGTCCTCCCCTCCCGCCTTCCCCCAGCCGCAGCGCACCTGCAGGTTGTCAGGGTTGAGGTCGGTCTTGTGCTCGTCGCTGGGCTTGTAGCCGCCATGCCGGTCCTCGATGATGGGGTCGAAGAGCTCCTTGAACACCTCGTAGGACTCCTCGTCGCCCGCCACGCAGCCCACAGTCATGATGTACGGGTGGCCTGCGGAGGGAACAGGAGGGCAGCGACATCACCGCCGAGCCCCGAGCACGTCCCCGCCGCCACGGGAGACCCCGGCCCCGGGACGCACGTACCGGGGTTGTCCACGCCGGTCTGGATGACGTCGTCAAGCGTGAAGCCGCTGGGCGTGCTCTTGGCGCGCAGCTCGGCGTACAGCTCGGGGGTCAACACTTTGGCCATGTGGTTGTTGTGAGCGCTCAAGTCGGGGAACTCGTCCTCGGCCGGGAAGCGCAGCTTCAGCGCATTGTGGCTGTTGGAGAAGGGCATCGCGGCGGCGGTGGCGGGCTGCGGGGAGAAGCGGGTCAGCCAGCACCGAGCGCCCCCGCCGTCGGGCCTTGCAAACTGCTCCCGGCGCCGCGGGCACGGGTCCCCGGCGTCCACCCCCACCCCTGGGACGCGGCCAAGGTCAGTGGGACCGCAGCGCGCCGAAAGATTCTGGTCCTTGCGGACCCCCAACCCCCAACACCACCGCGCGCGATCTCCTGGTGGCGCGCCTCGAACCGGGCCGCGACGCTGCGGCTCCCAGGGCCACTCCGTGCAGGCCGCCCCCGACCAAACCAAGCCGTCCCTCGGGCCCCTCACCGTGCAAGCGAGCGGGCGGGGGCCTCGGCGTCTCTGCAGCTCCGGGCGCGGCGCAGGCGAACGGCGGAGGATCCGCGCTCCCGATGCTCTTAAGGGGCGCGTTGCGGGCCGCCCATTGGCCGCTATTTATAACCCATTCATTCCATTGGCCTGAGCAGCGGGGAGGTGCCGCGGCTTTGTCCGCCGCCTGCAGCCCCCCTCTCCCCAGCCCCGACAGCCCCCTTCGGCTCTCACCTCGCTGAGACCCTGAGCTGTCCGGGCGCCCGTCCGGGAGTGGGGAGCGGAAGTGTAGGTCCTAGGCCCCCCGGGACCTCTCCGTATCTCACGTTCACTGCCTTGGGCCAGGGAAACTGAGGCCCTAGGGCTACTGGGCGCTGGCAGCAGTGACCTTCCTCAAGGTGCTGCGGGCATCTCCAGGCCCAGCCCCAAGGCGCCCTGGGGCTTGACCTTGGGTGAATCTAGGACTCCTAGGAGTCCCAGAGGAACCCCCTTAATCACGGACTCAATGCCACCTGGTGAGGGGGCACAGTGGCCTGGAAAAGTCCTCCCCCCCCTCCGCCAGGCGATGCAACCCTCAAGGGCGGGGGGGGGGGAGGAGAGGGCCCTTCCTGCTGCCAGCACCCCACCCCAGAGGCAGTGCCCAGAGGCGCGTCTTGGAAGATGGGAGGAGACCCGGGAAGAGTCTGAGGCTAGCAGTCAGAATCCTGGAAACACAAGCACCCCACCCAGGCCCCACACCCTGCAGGACACCCACGGGGGGGGGGGGGAGCCCAGCTTTTCACTTGGTCCAAAAAGGAAAGTGCTTTGGCAGTGCCTACAAACAGAACCTGTTTGTACCACACTGCAATCCAGCATTCCCACTTTCAGGAACGGAGCCATCAGTCATCCTTGTTCCCTCTGCTAACAGAAGCCAAGGAAGGCCAGACAGGATGGAACCCGCTGACCTGCAGGGCTGGCCAGGCTCAGAGCCCTGTGGCTGCGGGGAGCCGGGGCTGGGTGAGCAGCAAGGGTGGAGGGTATCCAGGAAGCCCAGGCTGGAGGAGCACTGAAGAGGGGCCTCAGGGGCAGCACGGGGCAAAGAGCAGAGCAGGGCCTCCACTTGGGCAAGCACCAGAGGGCGTGGCAAGCCCGGCCCAGGTCCCAGGATTCCTGCCCCTCCCTAACCTTGGCACGACTCAGTCGGTTCCAAGTCACCTGTAAGAACAATGCAAAAGGGCAAAAGGCCCATTCCTGGCTGGCTTGACAGCAGGTGTCCTTAAGCCTGAAATCCCACTTTCCTTGCCTTGAGAAGGGTCTGCAGCTGCTCCCCTTACGCCCCCACCAGCAGGCCTGCAAGCTCCATTGTCTGTGGCTATCCCACTCACTGTCTTCCAGACCCTGGGGGCGGTAGGAGAAGACACTGGGGCTCCTCTGGGTCCACAGCTCCTAAGCTGGCCCCAGCCCCCCTCCCTGACCTGCACCCAAGGAGGCGCCCGTCTCCCAAGGAGGCACCCGTCTCCCAAGGAGGCACCCGTCTCCCAAGGAGGCACCCGTCTGGGGCTGCCACAGCCACCACAGGCGCGCTTGCTCTGCAGATCGGCAGCAAATTGCAAGCTGAGCAGCCAGAGTGCTTGGTCAGAGGTCCAGTGAGCTCCTCCCCCTGTCCTCATGACAAACTTAGAAGATGTGGTGTGAGGGGGCAGCAGCAGGTGGTCTTCAGACCCAAATGGGGGGGGGTGCAGCCCCCACCAGGCAGGGGCGGCTGGGAGGGAGCCTGCAGCCAATCCCCTGTCTGCACTCTGCCTGCGGTCCCGGGGAGGGGGCCAAGGAGCCAGTTTGGCGGGTCAGGGCAGGAGACTGGGGGATATCACTTTGGCTAATGTATAGTTCTGTTTCCTTCCAAATGTTACACATTAACCACTGGCCTGGAGGGCCCCCCAGGAGTCCCAGGCCTTTTATCCAGAGAATAGACAGGGTGACTGACATGGGTGGGGGAACAGAGGCCGTCCTGGTGGGCTGGGGCCCCAGTGCCAGTGCAGTGCGGCGGGCGGGTGGGGTAGCGCTCCCAGGGGGGTGCCTGTCTCCTTCCCCAGCCCCTCCCTCGAGGACGCCACACTTAGCTGGTGTCCCAGGGCACAAGCCCACTCTGGGAAAGGGGCCAGGGGGCCCCGGAGGCAGCCAGACAGGGATGTGAGTGGGAAGTGGGAAAACCGCAGCTGAGTCAGGAGCCCTAATTCAGGCTGCCAGCAGGCGCCGTCCTGGCCACACATCCGCGGAGAGGCTGGCCAGCAAGGGTGCCCGCCCTCCGGGGAAAGTTCACAACCTTAGGGCAGCAGCCCACCTGGCCCAGGGGCTTGAAGCCTTCAGCAGACACAGGGCGGGGGGCTGTGGGTTGGGCAGGGCGATGGGCACAGCTGTGCCACCCCCACGGAGGGCGCCCCGAAGGCCGCATAGCCCCAAGTGCAGGGGCCTGGCTCCCAGGGCGGGTGGGGGCGCTGGCCCTGTCCAAGCCATGACCCTGGTCCGCCCAGGCCCCCCGCGCAGTGTGCGGGGACCAAGCCGGGCAGCGGGCTGTGAGGGGCGCTGGCGGGCCCGGCGCCGCCCCCGCGGGCTCCACGCGTCCTCTGGCAGGACGCGAAGGGCAGCCCGGCCGCTCCCAGGAGCCCGCGCGCGAGGGGCGGGCCCTCGGACGTCATCGGCGCGCGTCCAGGGGCCGGAAGCGCTGTCGCCGAGCCGCGTGGGGCAGGCGCTGGACCCCGGTGTCCGTGCACGCCGGTGGCCGTGTACCCCGAGCGCCCTTCCTGGGGACCCTTGGGCCGCGTGCGCACGGCTCCCTGCGTCCTGCATCCCTCACGGAGCTCAGCCCCGCTTGGGGTAGCTTACAGGCCCTTGACTGCCCCGGCTAAGAACCTCTTCTTGGAGAAGGCTGAGGTGGGCACTGCCTTTGTGGGGATTCTTGGGCCCGCCACGCACGGGGTCTGGGGCTCACCCAAGCCCACACCCCGCCTTTCTGCCTCCCCAGGTCCCACCATGAGCTTCGTGTCCTACGAGGAACTCATCAAGGAGGGTGACACGGCCATCCTGTCGCTGGGCCACGGTGCGATGGTGGCGGTGCGCGTCCAGCGAGGGGCGCAGACGCAGACCCGGCACGGCGTCCTGCGGCACTCGGTGGACCTCATCGGCCGCCCCTTCGGCTCCAAGGTGACGTGCGGCCGCGGGGGCTGGGTGTACGTGCTGCACCCCACGCCCGAGCTGTGGACGCTGAACCTGCCGCACCGCACGCAGATTCTCTACTCCACCGACATCGCCCTGCTGACCATGATGCTGGAGCTGCGGCCTGGCTCTGTGGTCTGCGAGTCCGGTGAGTGGGCCCGGCCGGAGGCCACTGGTTAGGGCAGACCCCGGGAGATACCCTGGGCTCTGGCGGCTGCCCGGGCTGTGGACGCTGCCCAAGGTGCTGAGCTCAGGTTGTGGTTCTGAAGCTGTGGACCATCTCCTGTTGGGTAGGAATGGCTGGAGGTGCCTGGAAGCCAGCATCTACCCCCATAGCACGCATACATGCCACCTGCGGGACCACCAGAGCCAAGTGCCGCTAGCCTTAGGGTCAGGGACAGCTGCGACTTCCAGGGGTCCCTCCAGGCAGCAGGAGAGCTGGGAGGCGGGGAGACATTTGAAGTGAAACTGCTGGGGAAGTGCACCCTTGTTCGCTGTCCTGACTGGATGCTTGGAGCCATAGTAATATGTGGACTACCCACTGACAGCTTATTAACAGCATCAGACTTTTTTTTTTTAAGATTTATTTATATTTATTGAAAAGTCAGATATACAGAGAAGGAAAGACAGGAAGATCCTCCGCCTGATGATTCACTCCCCAAGCGGCCACGAAGGCCGGAGCTGAGCTGATCCAAAGCCAGGAGTCAGCAGCCTCTTCCAGGTCTCCCACGTGGGTGCGGGGTCCCAAGGCTTTGGGCCGTCCTCGACTGCTTTCCCAGGCTACAGGCAGGGCGCTGGATGGGAAGTGGAGCTGCTGGGATTAGAACCAGTGCCCATATGGGATCCTGATGCGTTCAGGGCGAGGACTTTAGGCCACCTTGCTGGTCCCACAGCGTGACTTTTTTAAAGCCTGCTGGTGACCTAGGCACAGGGGGAGGTTGCTAGTCTCCTTGCCTTGGTCTGCCGGTTCCCATTGCCTTGCCTGGGGAGGAATCCCGGCTCTTTGTTTTATGTATACGATCAATTGTTCTCGTTCAAATGATGTCCTGTTAATTGTTGTCCTACAAACCCTAAGAGCTTGGGGAGCCCTCACACAGGAGGAGACCTAGCAGTGACCCTGGGCTGCACCCCGGCTGTGGCTGCAGGACCAAGCAGGCAGCCAGCTGCCCCGGGAGCAGGGTGCACAGGGCAGGTATAGAGCGGGCTCAGGATGGTATGCTGCCTGTGAGGTTTTGTTTATGTTTTAAAGATGTGTTTTTCTAAAAGACGAAGTTCCAGAGAAAAAGGGACAGCCAGGACCTTCATGTAGGCCTCTGCTGTGGGTGCACAGCCCAAGTGCCTGAGCCATCCACTGCCTTCCCAGGGAGATGGACTACGAGTGAAGCAGCTGGGCTCATGGCTACCAGCGTTACCCAGCATGGGCCCGGACCAGTGGCTGTGTCCAGACAGATTTGAACGCAACCTTTGTGGAGAGCCAAGAGGGAAATGGGGCAGGGAAGGGGTTGGCACCTTGCAAAGTGTGCCAGGAAGTGTGAAGTTTTGGTGACCTGTACATGGGTGGGCAGAAGGGAGTGCAGGACTCCTTGGTGTCTGGCCTGGGCAGCCTTAGGCAGCGTGGTGGGGCCGGATCTGGCCCAGCTGTGTCCTCAGCAGTGTGGACAGGAGGGACTCGGGGCGCCGTTTCTGGCAGAGGGACAGACACCAGGCTGTGGAGGGTAGGTGACTAAGGTGAAGTTGGCAGATGGGCTGCGTTGTAGCACCACGTGCCTGCAGGTGGGCATAGCTGTGCCCTGCGGGGCTGCGGATGGGGGGAGCTGGGGCAAGGGGCTGAGGGATGAGACAGTCCAGCGCCCCCAGTCTGGCTCCAGCCCCACCACACCCAGATGCACGGTGGGGCCTGCCTGGCCTGTCTCCCCCATACCAGCTGCTGGTCTGGCCGCAGGTGTCGGAGTGAGCCTGGGTGGTGGTGCCCAATGCTTGTCCTCTCCTGTCCCGTCCCGCCAGGCACTGGCAGCGGTTCTGTGTCCCACGCCATCATCCGCACAGTAGCGCCCACTGGCCACCTGCACACAGTAGAGTTCCACCAGCAGCGGGCAGAGAAGGCCCGCCAGGAGTTCCAGGAGCACCGTGTGGGCCGCTGGGTAACCGTGCACACACAAGATGTGTGCCGCAGTGGCTTCGGCGTGAGCCACGTGGCCGACGCCGTCTTCCTGGACATCCCGTCGCCCTGGGAGGCCGTGGGCCACGCCTGGGACGCCCTCAAGGTCGAAGGTGTGTCAGGCAGTGGGGCTGAGCTCCTGGGCCAGGGCCTGGGGGACCAGAGGCGGGAGGGGTCATGCCGGCTGGAGGTCCGGAAGGGTAACCCCTGTTGGACTCCCCCTTGGCACTGCCCACCGTGTGGGCCTCTGCTCCCCTCCCCGGCGCCACATCGCCAGGCCAGCCGTCCCTTTTAGGGAAGGTGCTGTGGTGAAGGCGGAGCAGCCTGCAGAAGGTCGGCTCCAAGCCAGGGAGGCAGGAGGCGGCCGAGAGGACTCTGGGTTTTTCCCTTTTCTGGAGAAGGCAGCAGCCAGGGCCCTCCCCTCCCCCGACCTGGCTGAGCTGCCTGCGGGAGGCCCGAGCAGGGCCAGTGGAGAGGAGCCCGCAACCCATCCCAGATGGCGAGGTGGGGGCTTCTGCTCTGCCGGGCCCCGCCCCTTCCCTGTCGCTGAAGGGGCCTGGGGCCAGGGGGAGGAGAGCTGTTACTGCACCCCACTTCCTCGGGGTGGCGGCAAGCGGCCTACACCTGCTGCTGTTTATTTCTGTGCCCTGCAAGTACCCTCCCCTAGGCTTCTTTCCTGGACTTGGTGTTCAGGGTCCCGAGGCCCCCAGCTCGTTCTTGATCAGCCGTTTGGGGGCAGCTCACGTGTCAGCCCAGCCGTGTCCTGTGCCAGGTCCCTGGTGCTGAGCTGCAGGAGCCACCTCCAACCCAGGTCAAGCTTGTGCCCACCAGGGCTGGACGCTTCGCCTGCCACAGGCCCGGCCGAGTGAAGCCTGTGGCTTCCACAGTGGGAGGAGCAGGGAGGGGCTGTCAGGCTGTTCTTGGAGCAGGCACCTCTTGTTCCCAGGAGCAAACGACAGCCTCTAATTTCCTGTGACAGCAGCAGCCCCCACATCCCCACTCTGCTGGAGCTGTGGGATGGCTGTGCCTCCCAAAGCCTGAGTGGCACAGGGCAGCTGGGCCTGCTGATGTCAGGCTGAAATGTGACCCCGGGGCCCCAGAGCCATCAGCCGGGGTGGGCTAACAGCTGGCTGGGCCCAGGGTGAGCTCTGGGGTTCTGCAGCCTGCTGCCCTCTGACCTGGTCTCCTCCTCACAGGTGGGCGCTTCTGCTCCTTCTCGCCGTGCATAGAGCAGGTGCAGCGCACATGCCAGGCCCTGGCAGCCCGCGGCTTCACGGAGCTCAGCACCCTGGAGGTGCTGCCACAGCTGTACAATGTGCGTACAGTCAGCCTGCCCCTGCCGGACCTGGGGGCCGGCAATGGGCCCCCCGCTGGCTCCGAGGCCAGCCCCTTCCGCAGCGGCACACCCATGAAGGAAGCCGTGGGCCACACCGGCTACCTAACCTTCGCCACCAAGAGCCCCGGCTAGTGGTCTGCAGATGAGCCCGGATGCTGAGAGAACCACTGGGCCTACAGGAGGCCGAGGCTGCCTTGTATGGTAGCGGACATCTGTCTGGCCTGTTTTGGGAACAGCCGGTGGGGTGGGGCTTGTGGCCTCCTGGGTGACTAAAGAGGGGGGCGGAGGGGGAGGGAGGCTTCCAACCACACCCCATTCCCGTCAGGCCCCGTGATTGCTACTGCGTTGCCAAATGAAGTCTCTGCTTGTCTCCTTCCTGATCTTGAAGCCAGGGGTTCCATGTGGAGGGGTCTGACTCCCTGTGCACTTGGGGACCCCAGCAGCAAGCAGGCAGAGGAGGACCCTGCCCAGGCCCAAGGTTGGCACTGCCCACCAAGGTCTTTGCAGAGCTCCCCCTGTTCCCTGCACAGCTCTGCCTGCTGCTGTCCCTGATGGAGCCCTAGACTCGTGGCCCAGCTCCTCTGCCCTCCCCATGCCAAGGGGGACCTCCAGCAGAAGGCAGGGGCAGAGCTACCTGCTGCCCTGGCCTGCCGGAGCTCCCAGCTGGAGAGCTGTGCTCTGAGTGGCCTGGGGGTTCTGTTATAGCCAGGGCTTATAATCCCAGGCCTTGAGCACCCTGGCAGTCCTGGAGGAGGCCCCGGCGACAGCAGTGTACAGCGGGGCAGGGCTGTCTCCTGGGGGCCCAGTCCCTGCAGCTAGAGCTGGCACCTGAAGGGTCAGGGACCAGCCTTTGTCTCCTCAGTATCAGTATGGGATCCTAGGGCCACCCTGGTCCCCGAAAGGGAAGTGGACATGCACCTGCCACACTCCTGGCTCCTGCATGTCCTTTCTATCCCAACGTGCACTCCAGGACAGTGGACCAGGGGTGCACAGGTTTCCACCCCGTCCTCCTGCAGAGAAGGTGCTTGTCCTGGGCCTTGGCCTGCCACTGTCTGTGCCATTCGGCTCTGTTTGCAGGCTCCAGGGTTGTCCTGCACTGGTCCCTGCCCCCGCAGAGGGGTAGAGGTCACACGGTGCCTCGTTCTGCAGAGGGGAGCAGACAGCTCGCCAGTGAGGCAGCAGTCAGCAGCTGCCGGCGGTCACCTCTGATTCAGCAGCACAGGGTTCCTCACAAGGCAGGGATGCATCTGGCAGCCAGCCAACAGCCTGCCTGAGGTCCGGCTGCCTTGTGGGCAGTAGTGTGGGCCTGGGCCTCGGGCAGCTCACCTGCCTTCAGCCATCGCTGCCTTGCAGCAGATCCCCAGGTGCTTGGGCTTGTCTGGGCTTTGCAGGGGCAGGCCGGGTCTGCCCAGGGGTGAATCGGGCAAGGGACACGGGTCCAGAGGCATGACTCCCGGCCAGCAGGACAGCACAGTGCGCTGGGCTGCCCCACCCCGTGCGTGTCCTTTGGGTGCAGTGCCCTCTCGGCCTTTAGTCCGCATGCTGGGCCAAATCACAGGCATTTGTGGTGGGAGAAGGTGGCAGGACAGTGAGGGATGACCCCAGCCGCAGTGGCCACTGACCGCCAGGCTGTGTAGCGCCCTTCTTTCCACAAGGCCAGGCAGGGGTTCGCCCCAAGCCTTGGTGCCTGGTGGGTCAAGGACAGCTGGATGGTTTTTCAGGATTATGGGAGAAATTTTCCTGGCAAACTTGGGTCACTGTTGGTCTGCACAGCCTGCCTTGCAAGGTGAGCATGCTGGCTGGCAGTCACCAACCCTGCAGGCCTCACGCAGCAGCTGGTTTCACTTGGTGGCTGTGGTGTGGCTGCCATTGTCCAGAGCGCCGGAGCGCCAGGCTGATGACATTGGGCCATGGCACTCCCTGGTCAAGGTGTGTCACATTCCTGACCTCTGGCCCAGAGCCATGGCTTCATTAGGGAGATGCTGATGCCCAGGCAGGGGCTGTGTGCTGGGCAGGTGAGGGAGCTGGCTCCAACAGCAGCCGTGAGCTCCTTGAGCCCAGGCCTGTGTGGTGCCAGGGACCCCCGCATGGCCCAGGCAGGATGAGGGCGTTTCAAAGTCAGGCTGCCTCAGAGGCAGTAGCGTCGGCAGAGGGAATAGTGCGGCTCCCACCAGGCTGAGAATAGCTCCGAATTGGGTCACGCTCACCCGGCGCTCCGGTCACAGCCTCCAGCCTTCGACAGTAATCAGCTTTCTCGACATCTGTGCCTTCAAAGAGGGCAGGTGGTGTGGGCACGTTTGTAGGGACAATAGGATGGAGGGCAAAGTTGGGGGGGAGTCTGTTCTTAGAGGAGAGGCCACTAGCATGTCCTGCTGGCCCCTGCAGCGGTGGGTCAGGTGGTGGGTGCCCTGGCAGGTGTGGGCCCTAGGCTAGGGAAGCTGGACCCTGCCGCCCCCCTCTTACAGGCCTCTGCCTTGGAACTGGGAGAGGAACCAACCTATTCAAAGGTTGCTGGGAGCCCTGTTTCTGCAGCTCTCTGGCCCCTCAGTCCCCATGCTGGCTGTGCCCTCCAGTGCCCCTGGGGCAGGTGGTAGCTGGAAGGAGGCTTAGGCAGGACCTGCTGTGTGCTATTGCATTTCTGTAGCATTTTCTACAATAAAAATTTTTTTTTGTAAGGCAAAATGTTGGCTCTGGGTTCTTCCTGTTGCTTTTAGAAGTGTACTTCCTGTTTTGCTGTCTACAGGAAAAGGGGGAGGAAGGCATTTGGCAAGCAGTTAAGACACCTCTGAGCCATGCTGGCATGCCTGACCTTGAATGCCAGCTCTGCTTCTAATTCAGGCTTCCTGCTGGGGTGTTCCTGGCGTTCCAGGTACCTGGCGTCAGCCTGGCCCAGCCCTGCGGGAGGTGATGGAAGTCTCACCTGAAGGGGAGATGGCCCGGACTGCGTGGGCCTCCTCTGGCCCGATGTAGGAAAGCCATCTGTGCCCTCGCCAGGGTTGCCAGCGGGGGCAGGTGATTCCCAGTCCTGCCCCTTCCCTCCTGGCCAGCACTTCTCCCCAGTGCGTCCTCATAGCCTCCTGCTGCTTCCTGCACATCCACTCCTTGTTCCCAGAGGAGAGAAATGTAGTGTGGCAACGTTTTTCAACAGACTGTGACTTCAGCAGGCACTGCCTGTCACCCAGGGCTCAGGTCAGGCTGTACTGGGCACACATGCAGAGGGCAGCGTCTTGGCCACCCCAGAAGCCCAGGGCCTCTAGCAGTGCAGCCTGTCCAGGAGGGCTGGCGGTCGCTGGGGAGACGGTGGCAGCCACAGAGACTTGTCGCTAAGCTCCAGGCAGCAGTCCAGGACCTATTTCTCAGGGAGCCCGTGACCCCTGCTCTGGGGGGTGCCTGCCCCTGCAAGGCTGAGCCCACTGGCTGCCCTCCTGGAGCTGTGGCACCTTTCTAGGTTCCCAGAGCAATGGCGGCCTGCTGGCCTGGTCTTGGAGTCCTGGGTGAACCTACCCACCTCCCGGCCCCTGCTAAACCCCACCGGGCTGTGTTCTCTGAGAAGAGCAGGCTTGCTTTGGTCCCTCTGGCTCCACTTCCTCTTTCTGTGGGCATGGGCAGCTGCACAGGGTCTGTGGCCATGTGGCTTCCCCCACCCTGAGGCGCGGTGGCTGAAGCCCTAGGTGACCCCAGGCCTTGAGTCCTCCAGTGCCCATGGCCACACTGTGCACACTTCAAGGGCACCACGGCCCTGCAAGGCACAGTGTTGGACTCACAAAGCGGCTGGCTGCTGTGCGTCCCCTGTGTGCCAGGTGGCAGGCACCCTGTGGGCGCACAGCACAGCCCTGTCCCCACCTAAGGTAGCCAGTGATGACCAGGAGGGGCCCCTTTCTGCACCCACTGAGAGTGGGAAAGCAGGAGCACAGATGGACACAGAACAGGCCAGCAGGGTGTCTGGGCGGGGTCTGCCCCCAAAGGGAGCAGGCCCTGCTCGAGGCCAGCCTGGGCCTCTGGGGTCTCTCCCAGGCTGTGAGCAGGAGACAAAGAGGCCGTTGCAGGGTGGGGGCGCGGCCTCTGCGTGACCTCACCGCCTGCCAGAGAAGGGTCCTTTCTTTCCGAGGGCAGCCACTGGGGATCTGTCTGGGGAGCAGCCCGCGGCTGTGCTCCTATGGCATAAATTAGGGGGGGCAGTGGGGGAGGGGAAAGTGGCTGCACCAAGTGTGTGAGGGGGGCTGCCCACTCCAAGCCCCCTTCATTCATTCACCCTGATTCTTCCTTCATTCCACAGATGGTTGCTAGGTTGCTAGGCACTGGCCCAGGGCCTTGTCTGGTGGTGGCAGGCCGGGGCTCCTGGACTGGAGGGGGACTTGGGACGGACGGGTCATGGTCACGAGGCATCGCATTGCCAGGAAGGTTCAGGAACGCACTTGGTTCTGTGAGTGCTGTCCACTGACACAGGAGTGACCAGCAGTTTCCTGTCCCCAGCTGTGCTCCACAAAGTGTCCTCACAGCCTTGCTGGCCTGTAGCCGTGTCCTGCAGCCTGGGCAGGGCAGCAGGGGTGGGGACCCCCTAGGGGGTCATCCAGAATACCTTGGGCTGGAATAGAGGGCTCAGAGTGCAGGACAAGGGCCACTGGCCTGGCTCCAGGGCCAGCCTCCTTAGTCCTGCCCCGCCCTCCAGCAGTGGACGCTTGTCCGGGCCCTACAGCTCTGAGCTCACCAGGGCCAGCCCGGGCAGGCTTCCTGCGGAGACAGCAGCCCTCACACTGGGCCAGGCCCACTGCCAGGACGCCGGCCCTAACCACATCCTGGCCATGCCAAGGTCAGAGACCCACCTGGTATTCAATGCGTGGAGGGCCATCCCTGGAGGGGCGTTGGGGGGCTGACCTCTAGCCTTTGTCCCCCTGGGGACACTGAGGTCCCTGGAGCTGGGAAACCAGCTCACTTTGCAACCCACTGGTTCTCAGCCCCTGGGGCAGGGACACTCCACCCCCAGCACCCCCATCATGGGTGGCAAAGTGCAGCCCACTGGCCAGGTTAGGCTGCCAGGACTCTGGCCTCCTGAGGCCGGGGCGCGCGGCCCCCCCGAGAGTGCGGGAGGCCCCTCGTCCCTCCCTGGAGCCGTGGCAGCAGCGCGGGCGGGGGCGGGGTAGAAGTAGGCCAGGCTTTGTGCCGCGTTGCCATGGCGCCGTTGCAGCCTGCGCAGGCAGGCAGGCTTCCTTTGGGCCGGTTCCCAGGACACGGCGAGCCAGCCCCTTCCTCTGCCCAGGCCCAGGCCCCACAGGGGCGCTCCTTCTCTGTCCTGACCCCTGCCCCGGGGCTTCGGGGGAGGCAGTGTGCCACGACAGCACGTACCTGGACCCAGTGCACATGCATGCTCAC